GGGGGGGGGGGGGGGGGGGGGGGGGTTAGGTCCAAAGACACAAGTGCTTGGGGGCAGAGATGTGGCTAGGTCGGATGCCAGGGATTCAGCAAGATACAGGGCAAGGGGAGGAAATGAGCTAAGAGAGGCAGAAGGATTTCTGGACGAGGATGCTGGGAACAAGAAATTAGATGGACATTTCCCAGCCATTGGCACAAGGCGAGGGACGTGTCTTCTGGCCCAGCAGTTGGGGCCTCAGGGGCTCACAGGGAGAGGGGGTCCTGGGGAGAGTGTGAGGGCGGGCAGACTGACCGAGTTGGAGAGGTGGGCCACGGCCTTGATATGCAGCAGCTCCTCAAAGATGAGGTCCAGCTCCTCGTCTGTGCGCTGACCTGGGCTGCGGGCACGGAAGGGCCGGGAGGCACATGGTATATCGTGGGTCTAAGGGCACGGGAGCCGCTACACCCACCACGCTCTGGGCCCGAGGCCAGCTGGATTGTTACCCGTAACAGGCCAGCCACCACTGAGTGCACACGGCGTGCCAGACAAGGGCTAGGCGCATCAAGTGCATTATTTCTGCCCTCATGACAACCCCTGATGTGGGCATCGTTATCCTCCTTTGACAGAAGAGGAAGCTGGCACGGAGAGGCATGGAGAGGCCCAAGGCCACCCAGCTAGTAGCCAGTGGAACTGGAATTTGAACCCAAACCCGCCTGCAGACTCCAAAGCTCCCCCGTCTCAGCCACTGCGGCACCTGAGCGGACAGGTCTTTGGAGGTGCTGTGCCCCCCACCCACAGTTACAGAGGAAGAAATGGGTTCAGAGGTGGGGAAGGAAGACTCCAGATGACCCAGCGAGAAGTAAGGGAAACTCTCAGCGATGAAACTGAGAAACTACAGAGTCTGAGAGCCACGTGAGGCCCAGGATTGTGGGGTGCAGGGCACCCGACTCACGGCTTTCGAAGCGCCACAGTGAGCAGGGCATCAGGCCCCCGCTGGGAGAGCAGGGCCATAGCCTCCACCAGTTCCTCCTCCAGCTCATGGACTCCCACAGGCTCTGGCTCTGGCCCGGGGAAACGGTAGAATTGGGTATCTCGGTCCTGGAAGGTCCAGTCGTGTTTCACTGCAGGGCAGAGGCCCAGGTGTGAGGAGAGGAAATTGAGGCCGCGTGGGTACAAAGCCCTCATTGCAATTGCAGGCACCCCCGGATGCCTGCTCCCCAGGACCGGCCGGCCCCACGGGGGCCCCACCCTGGGCTCGGGCTCACCATGGCAAAGGGCACCTTCATCCAGGAGCACCTGGCAGATTCCAACGGCTTGGTTTCGGGAATGAACTCCAAGGCTCAGTGCCAAGATCCCATCCACCAGCTCCCGGCCAGAGCAGCACTGCCTACAAGAGGTGAGGGGACAAAGAGGAGGGAGAATTAAGTGGCAGGAGGGTGGAGGGCAGAAGGAAGACTTTCCGTCAGAAAGGTGCCTTCCCTCTGTGGTGACAGCACAGAGACTGCTTAGGATTTTCTCTCTCCCTCTCTCTCTGTCCCTCCCCTGCTTATGCGTGCTCTCTCTCTCTCTCTCTCTCCCTCCCTCTCTCTCTCTCAAAATAAATACATCAACCTTAAAAAATTTTAAAAAGAAACAAGTGCCTTCCTAGGCTAGAAGCAGGACTCAGCCCCGATGTCCAAAGTAGAGCAAAAGGGAGAGAAAATGGGGGTGGGCAAGGAGGCGGCTCAGGCCTCCACTCACCGATAGAGCCTAAGGTGGTACTTCCGGTCTCGGATAAGGGTCGGGCAAGTGGCCAGGAGGTGTCGATGCAGCTGCTTCCCGGCCCGGAGCACCCGCTCCGTGGAGGCCTAGGACGGGGGCAGCACAGCAGGTTCAATCCCTGACCCCCGGCGGTGCTGTCCCCTCCCGGCTCCACCCCTCCCGGCTGGTACCTGCTCCAGGCTCACGCTGAAATCCAGGGACTCCTCACTGTCCGTGAGTGGCGTCTAAGGGCAGGGGTGGGAGGAGGGGGAGGGTCTGCACGTTAGTGCCAGGACTTCAAATCCAGCTCTTAGACCTCGGCCCTCCCCCGTCTCTCTCAGTCCCTGCCCAGTCCCCAGCTCCAAACACTCAGTCAACAAATACACTAGTTCTCCCCGACCACCCCTGTATGCCAGGCACCCGCCTCCCTCCACCCTATCACCAGAACTTTGCCTTCCTTCTAGACTCACGCACTGCACCCCCGCAGATGAGCTCCCCATTCTGCTTACTCAGGGCCCAGGTGTGCCCAGGCTCCCAGGTAAACCACACCTGTGCAGGAGAGAGAGCTGAAGAGCATGAGGATGGGAGGTAAGGAAGGCCCATGATAGGCCAGGAAGTGAGTGGCTTGGAAGGGAGGCCTAGAACACTTGCTCCTGGGCCAGAGTCACAAGGCCTGATCCTGAGCCAGGCTTTGTCCCCAGCCACAAGACCCTGAGACACCTGGATTCAAATCCCTGATCCTCCATTTCCTAGCAGCGTGATCCGAACATATAGCTAACTTCTCCCTGCCTCAGTTTCCTTGTCCATAAACTCTATAAAACACTCGTAATACCAATACAGAGGCTTTGGGAAGGGTTATGTGAGTGATTCGTACCGAATGTTTAAAGCACTGCCTGGCAAAGAGTTGTATGTACATGTTAGCTATTATTACTCATCTGTGAAGCAGAGGGCGGGCTGCTTGCTGGAAAGCCCCTCATGAGCCTTCTTTTTTTTTTTTTATTTTTTTTTTAATGTTTATTTATTTTTGGGACAGAGAGAGACAGAGCATGAACGGGGGAGGGGCAGAGAGAGAGGGAGACACAGAATCGGAAGCAGGCTCCAGGCTCTGAGCCATCAGCCCAGAGCCCGACGCGGGGCTCGAACTCACGGACCGTGAGATCGTGACCTGAGCTGAAGTCGGACGCTTAACCGACTGAGCCACCCAGGCGCCCCTCATGATCCTTCTTTTGCTGCCACCTGAAAACTGGAATTTGTGGACCTCTCTGGACAGGATGCCCTACCCTCTATGAGCCCTCCCAAAGGCGCAGCACTTTATAGTTTACAAAGTGTGTCTCCCTCCATGATGTCCTGATTCTCTACAGAATAGGACCAGATATAGAGTAGGCACAACAGGGATTGTCCGTCCTCTTTGACTTAAGAAACAGAAGTCTTAGGGTGAAGAGCCCGTGTAACTCAGTCACACGTACTTGGGACGGCCAGACAGCCGTGCATAAATTCCAGAAGTGCTCACATTCTTGGTCTCACCCCACCCACCCGCACCTGCCTGGTTCCTTCCCTTCCCCCTTTTCGCCAGCTCTCTCTCCTGCTTTCCCATCTACACTCAGCCCCTGAAAAGGACCTGGCTAGGAAGCTGGGGTACAACCAGACTTGGGGCCAGAACCCCCTCTGCTCATCCTGGCATCTTCCCACTGTGTGCCAGGCAGAGGCCTGAGGTCTGGCATGCATAGGCGCCTGGCCCGGGGCTGGGCGGAAGTCGCTAGGTGTCCCAAGGGTATCCCTGCCCGGGTCATGGGGCCCAGCCTGGTGCCAGACACAGAGCCCTGGAGACTTAGCAACAGGAAATGAGGAGGAGGAGGAGGAGGAGGAGGAGGAGGAGCCAGGGAAGGAGGAAGGGCAGGAATGCTACCCAGCCAGCCCCCTGTGTTGGAACAAACAGTGCTGAGCACTAATGACTTGTTGTTGTTCATGTCAAAAGGCCCAGGTGGCCCCGGTCCCTGCCCCAACTCTCTGGTGCCCACGACCCAGGCTCCAGCATATGCTCCCTTCCTGGTATTATTCTGACCCTGGAGGGCACATCAGGAGGGGAGGTGCCAGCTCACAACCCAGATCCCAGATCTCCAGGCCTTGTTTAAACCGTTTCCTGCCCTGCCCCAGGGAATAAGCAGGAGGGTCAGAAGAAGGAGGCTCTGACCCATCAGAGGTGAGGAAGTTTCCTGAAGGCATCCCTCCCAACTTGCCAAGGAAAGCAGGAGCCCAGAAAAGATGAAGTAACTTACCCTGAGTCACACAACTACTCAGAAATTCAAGATCCTACTGAATAACCAACAGTGGCCCCGAAAGTAGGTGTTTGTCTGCTGTTTCACAGCTAGACAGAAGGAGGCTCCGAGGTTACATAACCTGTCCTGAGAGTGGGTAAACAGGGCCACCAGGATTCACACTGTGCCTATCTGATTCCAAAGCACAGGTCACCATCTCCCAGGCACCTCCACTGCCTCATGTTTGTCCCACTTCATGCTATGGAAGGGTAAATTCTGCCCTCAGGAATGTTCCACGGGCAAGTAAGTCTGGAAGACACGGCGTTAAACAAAGTTCTGTGGGTTTGTCATAGTCCCTCTGGGACTACGTCCATATGCACTGGGAGCCTCCTAGGCTGGGGGTGGGGGTACTATTCAGGATACGGTCAAGGGCATGGGCTCGCCATCCATGTGTCTTGGCCAAATCTCAGTTCCTAGTTGTGTGATCCAGCTAGTTGTGTGACCCTGGCTGCTCATTGACCTCTCTGCCTCAGTCTCCTCATCTGTAAAATGGGGTTCATGATAATAGTAGCTATGTCACAGGTAATTATGAGGATCAAATGAGTTAATAACATAAAGCACGCAAAGCGATGCTTGGCTTGTGGTAACCGCTTAGTAAATGTTAAGCAACTCGATTAAACTTCGTTATTTTATGATGGGTGCCTATTACCTGGACACAATGCAAAGAAGTGTTGTACCTTGGCTGACCCTCTCTCTGATGTGATAACCCCGAGCGTCAGCTTGGGGTTCTCAGTTGGAAAGAAGTGGCTGGGGGAAAGGCTCTTGACCACTGCCTCCTCTCCTGCCTGGACAGGAAGGACGCAGGGTAGGAGAGGAGGGGGTAGCTAGCTTCCCTGCACCAGCGCCATAGCCTGCCCCCCCTCCTTCCCTCCCTGTCACTCAGTGTCAGAGCCATGCTGAAGGGGCAGGCACAGAGCCAGAGAGCCTCGTGGGGACCTGTCAGACCAGTTCCCTTAAGCCATGGCTAGGGTCTCAGGCCAGGGCTGTGTGTGCTGGGACAGGGAGAGGACGCAAGGGGAAGGGTGATGCTTTGGGGTGTCAGTGTTTTCATTTACAGCAAAAGAAAGTGCACCATGAGCTCAGACTCCATGGCCAGGTCACCTGGGACAGAAGCCTAACTTTGTCTCTTAGCCGATGTACAACCCTGGACCTGTCACTTAGCCACTCTGTGCCTCTGTTCTCTCATCTATAAAAGGAGACAATGACACTGGTATCTATAGCTCACACGGCTATTGTCAGCTCACTTGACATGAAAAAGGTAAAGCTCTTATAATGCTGCCTGGGACACAAGTATTATACAACTATTAGCTACTACCGTTGTTTGAACACGCTTGCGTGAAAGCATGTTTTCTGAGTTAGAGAATCTGGCCACCTCTCCCCAAACAATCACTCAAAGGGAAGCATCCCAGGCTTCTCTGAGATTACGGGACCCCCCCCCAGAGGTCATCCTGATCTTGCCCCTGCCTCCAGATAAATTGATCCCTCTCTGGCTCCTGGGCATTGGACAAGATCTCCTCTCCTTCTCATGCTTCCCAAAGGAGATGTTCTTCCATCCCATCCTAGTGTCACTTTTGCCATCGATGGTAAGTCCGTCCTCTGTCTAACCTCACCCTCCTGTAACCTGCTTTGATTTCTCTTGTCCTGATCTAGTAGCAACAGAAAGTACTCTCTTCAGACCTCAGGAGGTTGATGGGTTTCCCCCTGGTTTTCTAAGAGGCAGGCATGGCCTGAATAACTCCCAGCACTGTTCGCCTAGGCTCCACCCCTTTACAACATCCACCCCCTACCCTACATGTGCACACTCCCTGACAAGCCCTTCTTCCCTCATGTGAGCCCCTCCTAGACCAGACGAATCATCTCACAGGTGAGAGGAGCGACTTGACCGGTCCCCAGAACCTCTTAAATGCAGCCGCAGCGGGCTGAAGCCACCCCACTCACCCATTCCCCAGAGACGGTCAGCAGGGCGGGGTGTGGCCCAGGCCCCTAGCCTTAAAAATCTAAGTACCCTTTAATCACCAATTCCCACCTACCCCCCTCCACCCCACCCCACACACACCTGCTAGAGAGGGGCTGTGTTTCTGTGACTTTCACCCTATTTACACTCCAGCAACCCTCACATCGCCCTTCTGGCTTCCCAGTGCACCCCAGCTCTTCAATTCTGGGGGTTGAGGGAGTCAGGAGACAGCCTGGCGGCCTCTTCCACCCCTTCCCAGAGTCTGGGTCCCAAGGGATCCTCCAGTGACCTCATTGTCCTGGCACCTGACCTTTCCCCCACTCACCACCTTGCCTCTACAAGCTGGGAAGGGGACAGGAAATGCACAAGTAATTATAGACTGAGAGGGAAGGAGGGAGGGAGGGTTCCAGCCCACGGGCTCCAAGCAATAGCTACTACCAGTGACCTGGCGGGGTGGGGGAGACAGCTTAGCCCAGAAGGGGCCAGCTCCCCTGCTCCCTCCAGAGCCCCATCTCGAGCAGGACCCAGGCCCAAGAGGGCCCTGACCAGGAAGACCCAGGGAGGGAGTGCGGGAGGGGTTGGGGGGGAGAGCTAGGGACACCTAGATTATCCTCCCAGTTCCGACGACGCTGAGGAAGAGCCCATCACCTCCGCAGACCTTGTTTTTTCTCACTCAGCCTCCTATTTTGATAAATATAAAGGCCATTGGGCAAGAGGTGGGAGGAAAGACGCAGAAGGTGGTAGTCACTCCACTCAAAGGGACTTGACGACAAGAGACATAAGTGACAAGCTCTCCCAATTCTGTCGTCTGCTCTGGTTTTCCCTCGACCCCTTTGCCCAAGTTCCCTCCTGGTACCAGCGCCCCCTCCCCCAGCCGCCTGCCAGTGCTGTCCCCGTGGGCAACAGAACAGACACACAACTGAATCTCACTGAATCTCAGGTGAAGGAACTCGGTGAAGTCTGGGTGGTTGGAGAGAGCTTCTCCGCTGATTTGGATCCTGCGACCATTATCCTGTCCCC